CACAACAAAGAAAGATGAGTCACCTTCTGGGGCCTTTTCCTGTTCCTTTATGTGGTGTTCACATGTTAGGCCAGTGTCTACAAGTGGTTAGAGGAGAGGGGGTCTGCTGAGACGAGGAGGAACAGAGCCTGAGCTGGCTGTGAGAGGGGTAGCTCTGCACTGGAAACCTGGACATAGGGACGGGGTGGGGCTGGGGAAAGACGGGTTTTGGAGTCGTACGGCCTGAGATCAAATCCCTAGACCTTTCTTTTCCTAGCTGTGTTCTCAGGCAATTCACTGGACCGCTCTGAGTCCTGGTTTCCTCATCCGAGGTGAGAGGAGTTTAACATGAATGGAGCAGTTGGTCTGAAGGCTGTTGTAGGTTTGGTGGGGAGCGCCTGTCATCGGGAGCCAGCCTGCCTGCAAGCTGTCGACACAGCAGGGGAAAGAAGCCGGCCATGAATGCAACACCTCATACTCACCTTTTCATGAACACACTCCTTTCCTCACTTTCACAACCAGCCCCTACCCTCCCAGGCCCCGAATATCAGTAACACTTTTGCCTCCTCTCTCCTCTTTCTTCCCTGTAAGTGAATAGCTACAAAGTCCTATCTTCTTTCTTCAAAATGTCTCTTTTATCAAGAAGTCCTGCAGTGACTAACACTGCTGTCACCCATCTGATGCCTATTTCCTCCCACCCTTCCTGGCAGAATCCCAGTCCTGTTCAGAGTGATGGTCAGTCCAGCGGAAGACCTCCTTCCCTACAGCCTGTGCTGGGAGGGTGACACGTGACACAGGTCAAGCCAGTGATGGGATTTCTAGGGAGATGGAATAATTAGAGATAACACTTAAGGGGGACCTGGGAGCAGGAGGTCCTGGCTGGGTCCTCAGACATCTGATCAGCTGGAGGTGAAGGACCCCAAAGGAGGCAGAGGCCGGGTCCTTGTCTGTCTCTGCCTCCAGTCAGTCCCTCCTGCTCTCTGGGCCAGATTTTCCTCATCTGAGCCAGGAGGTGCAGGGTAGGCTTGCCAGAGAAAATATGGGATGCCTAGTTTAATCCCAGCTTCAGGTAAATGATAAATAATTCTTTAGTATAAGTAGATCCCATGCAATATTTGGAACATATGTGTACTAAAAATTATTTATTGTTTACCCAATATTCAAATTCAACTGGGAATTCTGGATTTTTGTCTGCTAAATCTGGTAGCTCCCTGTGGGTTAAACGGTTAGGTGGAGAGCAGGGATATGAGGAGATGGCCAGACAGAGACATCGGCCTGGACCCCCAGGGAGAGGAGGGGCAGAGGGGGCGGAGGGATTGGGATGCTGACGTAGGATGCTCACGTGGGTTTCTCCCTCCATTTCCACGGCCTGGGCAGGGTGGGCACCATGGCAACCGCTGCCCTCTGGCAACACCCCCACAGCTCTGACAGCTCTAGTAGTGGGGGGGGGCAGGTAGGGACGATGGGACATGGAACCTGCGAGGTACACCCCCTGCCCCACTTCTGCACAAATAGGTGTTTGGTGTTTGTGGTAAACCAGTGATATGGGGAGGTGACATATAAGAGCAGCAGGACCCAGGAAAGGTCAGACTGCTGGCTCGCTGCCTCCAGAAAACAGGTGTGGAGGGCGTCTCAGCCGTTGCTCCAATATGACCACCTGGATGCTCCTGCTCCTTGCCTCAGTGCTCCTGGACAACCCAGGTGAGGACTGCCCCTTAATATATACCCTGATGGCTCCTCCCGCCCCCTCTTTCAGTCTTACTGGACCCACAGCATGGGCTCTGCAGGCATCCCAGGTCCCCAGCCCCTCCCCAGCCTTCTCTCCCGTCATGGAGGCCAGGCCTGTCCCTCAGAGCCAGCTTCAGGCCCAGCGTGCTGGCCCAGCCCGCCAGTGCCCTGGATGGGGAGAGAGGCAGTGGGAAGCCAGCCCTGGCCGGGGTTCTTGTCCCAACTTTGCTGGCCACACTGTGTGGCCTGGGTCTGCCTTTCTCTCCTGGCCTCTGACCCCTCATCTGTCACGAAACCCCCTGACCCTCATGGTGGGTCTGACATGTCTTCCAGCCCACACTGCTTGGGTTAAGATGGGGCTTGTGAGAGAATGGGGACCCCTCAGTGTTCAAGACACACTTCCGGCTCCCCGTACCCTCTTCTCTCCCAGTCCCTGGGGTCAGTGTAAGTTTCAGGAGCTTAGCTGAAGGAAAGGACAGTTCTGGAAGGTAGAGTGGATGCGGCTGGGCCACCTGGATGGAGAAAAGAGTAGGAAGACAATCTCCTGAAAGGAGATGAGGGAGGTTTTTTTCTAGACAAAATAACCACCCCCCAAATCTGAGCTTGTTTGGGGGAGGTACAGGGGAAGGGAGGGAGTCTTTCCCTCCTGGCTTTCCAGAAGGACCTTGAGAACGTGTCTTTTTTGCTGAGAGTGGGTCTGGCCTTCCCACAAGGCCCAACTCCTGTCCCAGGCCCTGGCCACCGCTTGGGTTCCCCACCAGCGGGCAGAACTGATATTTCCCTCTCCTTCCACCTGCCGAGGGGACACTGATGCTGTTTCTTTCCCAGATGTCACCTTCTCTGGTCTGACCCCTGAGGACCCGGCAACGGCCCACCTGTGTGATGGAGAGCAGTTCTTCCAGGGCCTGGCCCAGGATGGCCCCCAGGTACGTGGTTGGCTTCCTGCCCACCTCCCTCGGGCCCTGTCCTTTCTCTCTTCCCTGGGTGGCTGCAGGGGTGAGGGCTGGAGACGTCTAATGGGTGAGGAGGGGAGGCCGGGCTGTGAGGTGAAGGAGCCGGTTTTGTCTGACTCACACATGCTCGTCTAGGGGGCTACAGCAGTCCCTCTGTGCCCTCTCCACAAGGATCCTCTGGGTCTGACCCTCCAGGGAGCCTGAGATGGACCGCCCAAAGGACAGACTCCCCTTGGGGCTACTGCACAGAGGAGGGGCAAGTGCTGGGCTGGGAAAAGTGCTGGGGCAGTGGGAGGCAGATTCTGGGGTCTCTCAGCCCCTCTGGGACGAGCAGGCAGGTAAGCAGGGGCCAGGCAGCCTGGTTAGGCCCTCAGGGGACCCACCCTCCCTGCACAGAGGAGGGGCAAGTGCTGGGCTGGGAAAAGTGCTGGGGCAGTGGGAGGCAGATTCTGGGGTCTCTCAGCCCCTCTGAGACGAGCAGGCAGGTAAGCAGGGGCCAGGCAGCCTGGTTAGGCCCTCAGGGGACCCACCCTCAGAGCAGAAAGATCATGATGTTCTGCCAGCCTCAAAAGCACCCAAGGGCCCCTTCCTTGGGTGCTTCTAAGTGTTCCCAGAGTATCTGAGAAACCATTAAAGCATTTACTTTGCTGACAGTGTGACCTGCCGACGAGATCAGAGGAGCTGGGCCTCAGGTGTGGGCCCTGCCTGAAGGTAATCCAGAAGCTGCAGGATATGGTGGGAGAGCAGCCCACCCAGGTGAGGCCCCAGTGGTTGTGCTGCCCCTGCCTGCTGGCCAGTGGAGTGGCAGCCTCTGACCAGGCGGGAGGCTGGGAGAAGCAGAGGGTTTCTCAGCAGGGGATCTGTGGGCCCCCTCATGTGACTGGGATGGACTTCAGAGAATCCGTGAAAGTGTTTGCGACTCTCCGGGAGTGTGTAAGTGGGAGGGCAGAGTGTGTCTGGTTTCCATCAAATTCTCAAAGGGGACTCGTCCCCAGAGAAAGAAGGACCCCTACTCTATAGCCCCGGAATTTGAGTCCAGGGCAGAGCTTCGAGAAGCTGTTTCCAGAGGGCCTGGGTCAGGACTGATAAATCTTAGATCTGCCATTTCCAAGTAGCATGGTCTTGAGGAAGTCACTGACACTTTCTGAGCCTTGGTTTTCCTATCTGTAGAATGGGATGGATATCAGTCCCTACCTTGCAAGTTTCTTAGGCCTTTTACAAGAGCTAAGGGTGGATGTGCTTAGCTGTGCTGAGTACTGAACAGATGGCTGTGCTACTGCCAGCTCCTCTTCTCTCAAGAGCCCCTGCCTGGCCAGGTTTGGGCCAGGGCGTTGGGGAATGGGAATAGGGGCTGAACCCTGTCTGTCCAGTCTCTGGTTCCTTGGCCACCTGGTGCTAGTCCTCGCACCCAGCATTCCCATTGCTAGAGTTTCCAGGCTTTCAGGGTAGCAGAGTTGGACAGGACTCAGCTGATTCCCATGTCCCACCACGGCGCTGCTGCCGTAGGAAACTATTACCAGTGCTGCGTCCCGGGTGTGCAGCAAGATGAAGTTACTGAGAGGCCTCTGCAAAACGATCATGAGGACATTTCTGTGTCGCATTGCCCTGGACATCATTGCTGGTAAAACTGCCCGAGATGTCTGTGTGGACCTCAAGATGTGCAAACCTGCAGGTGAGTGCAGGGGGGACAGCAGAGATGCCTTCTGAGGGCCTGGGACTGCCTTCCCCAGCATACAGCTCTCATAGAGAACTGACAGGTAGCTCCTATGTGCTCCAAGCTTCTTTCTTCTGACACATTACTTCCCTGACACCCAGCACAGGAAGGTGTGCAAAACTGGCAGATGAATGTTAGGTAGAAATGCTACAGAAATACTGATTCAGAGCTTGGTCTTTGGATACAGGCAGTTCTTGCGGTAAAATCCAATCTTCATCTCTCCCTGGCTGTGTGACCAAGGGCAAGTAACTTGACCTCTCTGAGCTTCAGTTTCTTTATCTGTGAAGGGAGGACACTAATCCTGCTTTGTAGGGCTGGAATGAGGATTGAACAAGATAATCAATGTGTAAAGAGCTGACGCCAAGGAAATGTCCTCAGACTGGGGATATTCAAGATATATCAGAGCCCCAATCAAACTCCAATCGCCCTGCCTAGCACAGGTCCCTGGGGATGGGAGCTGGTGCCACTTCCTCCCCCAACCGGAGCCCTAACAGCTGGGCTCAGGAATCCTGCTGGGCAGGGAGGGCTCTCAGGGCCTCTATGTCCGCAACTGCCCAGGCTGTGCCCAGAGAGAACAGGCCATGGCTGCAGGAGGTGGGGCTGGAATAGGGCCTCCGTGATGAGCTCTGGCAGCTCATCTGGCACTCACCAGTGATCTGGGACCTTATGCTAGCAGATCGGGGGTTTGCCTGTAGTGCAAGGTCACACCATTTCTTGTCATTGGAGCCTGTGGTTCTTACCTTCAAAGCCCTACAACCTGTTCAGACTCCTGACTGGTGTCCAGGATGTGACTGGGTGTATTCAGAAGGGGCAGGTGGCTCTTAGTTCCTGTTTCTCCCCGGGGACCCAGTACATCTGCCCATGGCTGGCTCTTTTCTCCCCTCCAGGTCTCATCTGAGGGCTCTGACCCCATTCTGGGGAAGAAGCATAGAGAGCTGGCTCCTGTCCTCTCATCCTGGGAACCTCAGTAATCTCTACCAGCTGTCACCTTTCTAGATGGAGTCTACTCTCCAGTCTCCCTCACCTGACTCCCTCCACTGCCTTCCCTTCTCAGGAGAATAAAGTGTCATTCGAGGTTTTAGCTGTGGCCTCTTTTTCTTTGGTGGATTTGAGGGGAGGGGATAGGTGGCATGCTGAGGTGATTCGGGCATTCATTCCAGAAATGCTTGTTGTGCGTCCCACACACTGTTTGAGATGCTAGGGATTTAGTGGTGGACAAGACAGCCTCAACAGCACTCACACACTCTGTCATGAAATATTTATTGAGCGCTCACTAGAACCATGCATCATTCCAAGAGCCCGGGCTACACAGTGCACATGCCCCAGAAGCTCTGAGACCGGTGGGAGAGACCAGCAGCGTCACCGTTAAAGTCCTTTTGGTGATAAGGAACAGAAACCCATCCTTCCGCTTCTCTCAGCAGGCAGCCTTCCTTTGCTGTTTTAGTGGAGTGTATCAGTTAGGGTCCTTTTGGTAGCAAGCAACAGAAGTCTTAGCTCATTCTGCCTTCAATGAAAAAGGTAATTTATTGGCTCAAATAATCAAGCAGTCCACAAATAGCTTCAGGCACAGAATGATCCAGAAAAGTATGGTGTCACCAGAGCCCCTGTCCTGTTTCCCTGCAATTCTCCTATCTTCCCACCTCTGTGTTGAAACTGGCCTCAGGCTAGCTTCCTTCTTGTCAGCAGAAGTGGCTTCATCAGGTTAAAACTTTCCATTTGTGCACTCTGTCATTCAGAGGGAAAGAGAGATCCTTCGGTGGCTTTTCTTCTGGTAGCTCCCAGAAGAGCGAGGAAGCGTCTTTCCCAGAAGTCCCATCAGCTATTCCCTCCGTGTTTGTTGGCCACTTCTAAAGGGTCCTGTGCCCACCCTTGAACCAATTGCTATGCCAAGGGGGTGGGATACGTTGACTGGCTTAAGCCAAGCCAGGGCACACCCCTGGGGCTGAGATAGGATCCATCCCTCCATAATCACTTGGTTGACAGTGGACATGAAAATCTGGGCTGCAGTTCACAGAAGAGAGGAAAATGGATGCTGGCCACCCAAGGAGCAGTGATGTGTAAGTTAGCCTTCAATCGAGGAAGCTATGGAAAGAGACTCCAATGGTCCAATCTGGGGTCCTTTCAGCATCAAAATAGGTAATGACAATAACAGATTGTAGCCCACTGAGTAAATTAGAACTCATGAGTTCATATAGGTATCAATAATAAACGAATAAATAAAAAGGGGAACAGGAAAAGTGCCACCTTCCAATAGAATGCCAACGAATAAAGGTAGACATTGTCACAAAGTATATCTCCGCCACGTACTTACTGATTTGACATTAGTTAGTACATTCCACGATTAGTTAACTTGATAGTGGAGAAACCTGGCAGGTAGGTAATGAAAGTTAACACCGCTCCCGACGGGGAGAGGTCACATCGTGGGCCTGGTGATGTCAGGCTCTGAGAGGAGCATAACAACACTTTTCTGCCATTCCTGCCAAAATGTGTAAATCGTGAGGAAACATCAGAAAAACGGAAACTGACACTTGACAAAGGAGCTGGCCTGTATTCTTCAAAAATGTCAAGGTCCTAAAGAGAAGGAAAGAGTGAAGAACTGTTCCAGATAGAAAGAAATTAAATAGACATGAAGACTGTGAGGTCACCAAGGAAGGAGTCGGTAGCTGGGCAAAGGATGGAAAAAAGATTTTATTAGCAAGCGGCAAGTGGACCTGCCGGGTTGAGTGGAAAAATGGCATCAGCGCCGAGAGGCAGTTGGGTGACTTTTTTATAGGGTTAAGATTAGCATCCGGCCTAACCGAGGAAAATGGTTAGAATGTTCCATGCTGGCTACAGCCTGCTCATGGGAACAGAAACTTAGAGAAACAACTGAAGGGTGGGGACTTTCTAAAAGTCAGGTTCTCAGTTCCAGGGACCTAAAAAGGACTGATTGTAACACACGATCCTGGTTTGGATCTGGAATTATAAAGGACATTAGTGGGGCAATCTATGAAATGTGACTGGAGTCTGTGATGACAATATTCTCTTAATGTTAATGTCCTGATTTTGATGGTTGTGCTATGGTTATGTATGACAGTGTCCCTCCTGTTAGGAGACATGCTAAGGGATTAAAGGGACAACAGGTCATCATGTCTGTAATTTACTGTCAAATTATTCAGGAAAAAATGGTAATATGTAAATATAAAAAGGCATATACCACATGTATGTGGTAAAATGTTAACAGTGGGGAATCTGGTTTAAGGGTAAACAGGTGCTCTTTTACTAATCTCGCAACTTTCCTCCTAATGTCAAATTATTTCAAAATCAAAGTAACTGACTCGTAGCATTTGGACCTTAGTAAATGGATATGTGGTAAAATGTTAACAGTGGGGAATCTGGTTTAAGGGTAAACAGGTGCTCTTTTACTAATCTCGCAACTTTCCTCTAAATGTCAAATTATTTCAAAATCAAAGTAACTGACTCGTAGCATTTGGACCTTAGTAAATGGATGGATGGTGGTGACCTTTACTGAGATGGGGAAGACATTTGCATGGGTAGATTTGGAGGGAGTAACGAAGGGTTCTGCTTTGGCCACGTGAAGGTTAACTGTTTGACATCCAAGTACTGTAGAGATGTCATATAGGGGTGTCTGGGCCGTGATACAGATTTGAAACCCTGGAACTGGATGAGACCGTCTAGAGTGAGTGCAGAAGCATTAGACCAGCAACTGAGGATGGTCAAGGCTGGCCAGCAGGAGACCTGGTGGAGCAGGTGGAGCCAGGGGAGGAGACTAGGACGGAGGAGCCAGGGAGACAGGAAGAAAACCTGGCATGGACCCGTGGAGCAAAGAGAATAAACCATTTCAGGCCGGAGGGAGTGGAACCAGGTCCAGTGCTGCTGGGAGGTCAAGAGGACAGAGGACTAGCCTCTGGTTTATGGGTGCCTTTTTGTCTCGGTGACCTTGGTAAGAAGTGTTTCAGTGGTTAGATGGGAGTGGAAAGAGAGACTGTACCATCAGCTGGTAAAATCATATGACATAAAATATATCATCATAACCATTTTTTGTACAGTTCAGTAGTGTTGAGTATATTCACATTGTTACAAAACAGATCTCCAGAAATTTTTCATGTTGCAAATCTGAAATTCTATAGCCATTAAACAATTCCCCTTTTGTCTTCCTCCCGGCACCTGTTAACCACTATTCTACTTTCTGTACAACTTGACTACTTTAGATACTTCATGTAAGTGGAATCATGCAGTATTTGTCTCTTTGCATTGGCTTCTTTCTTTTTTTTTTTTTTCCTTTTTGTCTTTTTTTGTGACCGGTAACAGGATCGCAACCCTNGGCCGGTCTGTATGTGGGATCCGAACCCTCGGAGGGAGCGTCACCGCGCTCCCAAGCGGCGCACTGTAGCAGTGCGCCACCAGGCCGGCCCCCTTAGACTTTTCTATGTATGGGATTATATCGTCTGCAAACAGAGATAGTTCTAATTCCTTTTCAATCTGGATGGCTTTTATTTTATTTTCTTGCCCAATTTTGCTAGCTAGAATCTTCAGTATATTGTTGAACAGAAGTCATGAGAGTGGACATCCCTGTCTTGTTCCTTATCTGCTGGGGAAAGCATTTAGTCCTTCACCATTGAGTATGAAGCCAGTTCTGGGATTTTCATACATGCCATTTACCAGGTTGGAAAAGTTCCCTTCTATTTCTAGTTTGTTGAGTGTTCTATCATGGAAGGATGTTGAATTTTTGTTAGACTATGTTTCTGTAGTTATTGAGAGGATTATGCGGGTTTTCTTTATTCTATTGATATGGTGAATTATATTAATTAATTTTTGGATGCTAATTTACTTTGCATTTCTAGCTAAATCCTACTTGGTCATGGTGTATAATTCTTTCTATATGTTCCTGGATTCAGCTTGCTGGGATTTTTTTGAGGATTTTTGCCTCCCTCTTCATAAGAGATATTGGTCTGTAGTTTTCTTTTGATGTTTTCTTCTGGTTTTGGCATCAGGGCATCCTCTTCTATTTTTTGGAAGAGTTTGTAAAGAACTGGTATTCATTCTTCTTTAAATGTTTGGTAGAATTCAGCAGTGAAGACATCTGGCCTGGGATTTTCTTTGTGGGCAGTGTTCTTGATGACTAATTCAATCTCTTTATTTATTCTAGATCTATTTAGATTTTTTATTTTTCTTCAGTCAGTTTCAGTAGTTTGTGTCTTTCTAGAAATGTGCCCATTTAATTCTAAGCTGTCTAATTCATTACCATATGATTGTTCACAGTATAATCCTTTTTCTCTCCGTAAGGTCAGTTGTAACGTCCCCTCTTTCATTTCTGATTGTAGTAATTTGCATCTTCTGTCCTTTTTTTCATGATCAATCTGGCTAAAGACTTGTTTTTTCAAAGCTTTTGGTTTCATTGGTTTTTCTCAAATATTGCTTTCTATTCTCTATTTCATTAATTTGCACTCTAATCTTTATTTCCTTTCTTTTACTTGCTTTAGATTTAGTTTGCTCTTCTTTTTTCCAGTGTGTTAAGGTGGAAGTTTAAATTTCCAAGTGGAAGATTTGAGACCTTCCTCTTTTTCAATACAGGCAATTACAGCTATAAATTTCTCTCTAAGCACTGCTTTTGATGCATCTCATAAGTTTTGGTAGGTGTGGCTTTATTTTCATTCATCTCAAAGTATTTTCTATTTTCCCTTTTGATTATTTTCTTTGATCCATTGGTTACTTAAGAGTGTACTATTTAATTTCTATGTATTTGTGTGTTTCCCAAATTTGTTTCTGTTAGTAACTTACAGTTTTATTCCATTGTGGTCACAGATCATANAAGAATATTCCATTGTATGGATATACCACACTTTGTTTATCTAGTCATCCACTGATGAACACTTGAGTTGCTTTCATTTCTTGGCTATTGTGAACAATGCTGCTATGAACATGGATGTACAAATATCTCTTTGAGACCCAGTTTTCAGTTCTTTTGGACGTATACCAAGGAGTGGGATTGCTGGATCATATGATGGTTCTATGTTGAATGTTTTAAGGAACTGCCATATTGTTTTCTATGGCAGTTGCACCCTTTTGCAATTTTACCAA